AAAAAAAAAAAAAAAAAAAAAAAAAAAAAAAAAAAAAAAAAAAAAAAAAAAAAAAAAAAAAAAAAAGGGTTACGTGACACTTCCGAAACGTCAAGTCAAATTATTGATATATCTGACATTAAAAAAAAAACATAAAGTACTAGAACATAAAATATAAGCAGTTTAAAGTTCATGAAGACAAATATCTTGAACTTTGCTTTAAATTTAAATAGATATATTTATATCTGGTGTGGCGTTTTTTTTTTTAATTTATTTTATACGTCAGTGTTATCTCAATGATATCATTTGAATGTTAGTTATATTATTGTTGCACGAAATATGTGAGTTGTGTTCAAAGAGTACAAAATATTCTAAGTTTGTCTCTTTCCTTTTGGCACCATGTCTCATAAAGCATAGGGATAAGGCAAGATGGCTCGTGTTAAACGTAATTCACTGTCAATTTGACGATTGATTATTAATCATATAACGAAAAATATAGGTCAATAAGAATATTCACTCGATTCAACGTTAATGAAAGATAAACATAGTTTAAAAGACATATTTCAAGTACGGTAAGAACATGGAAACATTTAGAGCGGCTAAGTGTTGGACAAAAATTGTGACTTGAGTGTGACGGAGATCATGTCTCAATGTCTCAATTTTCGTCTAGTATTCTAGTAAATTTCTACCACAAAGACAATCTTGGAACGTAGAAGCATTCAGAGCACGACTAAATTATATGAAATACCCTAAAACTTTACTATTGAATGTTGAACATGAATTGTGAGCTGGAACAGTGTAACAGTCGTCATGTCTCATTGTCCGTACAAGGTCTCTGTCACACCATGTTCACGTCTCAAATTTTATTATAGGTCTCTATCACATTGTTTTTAGGTCTCAATTTTCGACCAATATTCTAACGGATTTCTACTCCAAATATAATTTTGAAACAAAAAGGTATTTAGAACACGACTAAATTACAAAATACCCTCAAACTTTGTCACGTGTTTTTTAAAAACATCTCTATCCTAATCTCTTAAACGCTATATTTCATACCCACCGACGAAAATTATGACCTAAAACAATGCATGGCGACAACCTTATCTCAATTTCCGTTCCAAGCCTCAATCAAATCATTACAAACCCTAATTTTTCATTCAACATTCTAACAGATTTCTACACCAAAGATAGTTTCAAACCATTTTTGAAACGTCAACAGTAACTTTACAAAATTCCCTATTGTAACGTAACGTCATTAGTATTATTCTTATCGAGGGGGAATGGACCTACAAAAACAAGAAAAAAATGTACAATTAAGAGTGTCGGAGCAAGTCAAATCTGAAGAACAAGATATGATATGAAATGAAAAGGGCAGTTCAAAAATGTTAGGTTCATATTTGACCATAAACAAACCCAACACACCCACATCTCCATACCCCACATTTATCTTTTTTTTTTTTTTCCTTTTAAATATAATTTTTAATGTAGAATATTGAAATGGTTTTGATCCGAGCACTTGACACAATCACACTTTTGAAAGTAGCAGACTAGCGATTGTGCGACACTCACTTTTCAACGACAAGTGAACTAAGCCAATTTGTTCTTGCGTCGCTTACGGCCAAGCGACGTATGATCGAGCCTCTAGCCTCGATTTTAAAAGAAGATTTTAGAAAACGAGGGCAGAGAGAGATTTTTGGAAGAGACGGTATATAAGCAAGCAAGAGAGAGATAACAACGGCTTACAATATATAACCTTAGGTAAGAGGATATGACTACTTGTCAATTTCTCGACTAATGCTATATTTTGCTCGATCTCTGTCATCATATTGTAATACAATTTTTTAGCTGTGGTCTGCTTTCCAGTTCTTTAAGAATAAATGTTATATTTTAAGTAAGTACATTTTAATTTATTTTACTACGGCTCATTTCCAACATTAATACAAAAGGTCTCGAGCGGGTTATAAAAGCAAGATTAAAAAGCTGCTAATTAATAAATGATAATAAAACGCTAAAAAGATGAACTACCAAAAAAGTATGACTATGAAATTAACCGATAATGTACTAGTCAGATCACTAGCACATATTGTCTGTTTTAGCCCATTACGTATTAACGTCAGTCTCACAGTTTTAAACTGCGCTGTTAGAGGGAGGTTTTTACACCTTCACAATGAATACTTTGTTACCCTCTCCAACCGATGTGAAATCTCATAGATAAGATTTTATAGTTGCACGTTATTGAGGTTGTTCCATTGTCCTCTTTCATATATCTCTAGATTAGTTAATAGTATAGGTATTACTATTCTAAACCGAGACCTCCAAAATCTATCGATAATCTCAAGTAAACCACCTCTCGAGACTATCTAGTATGTGATATTTGCCCTACTCTAATCGTTAAACCTAGAAATAACTTATTTTCTCCGTTCCAAGAACGTCGTATCATAAGCCAACCACCTAAATGGGAAGATTCCTATCAGTATTTCCGAACGACAAATCAAACTATAAAACTAGGTATACAATATCATATAGCTTAGAAGGTATAAAAACTTTTGAAAGAAAAAGGGCTCACACGACAACCAATATATTTGGTCGTTCTCGTTCATACATCCAACGATCCTTTTAAATTTTAACCGAATTTAGTTCTCGATCCCGAACACGTCGACACAAAACTGTACTTTGTTTTTTTTTTTTTTTTTTTTTTTTTTTTTTTTTTTTTTTTTTTTTTTTTTTT